GGTGATTTTTGCCGTACTAAGTATTCAAGTTAGTTTGCTTGGAACTCAGTTTGAAAGCTACCCAAAAATTAGTATCATTGAAAAGTCACAAAGTGCCCTTTTATACGTCTTCACCGAACTCTTAATATGCCAGCTAGCCACATGTTTACTGCTTACATGTCTAATTTAAAATTATTGTGATTTCCTCCTAGTCCATGCGCGTTTAAATTATAAAAATATGCCGAAATATTCGGAGGGGTATAACAAGGTGGAATTCGTTGATCGAAGCTGTACTGAAAGGATACGAAACCTACGTTTGGTATGCTTTACCCGCTTCTGTATGATGACTATTCAAAATGCACCGTTCGCTTTTAGAAAGATGCTAACTTAAAGCCACGCCCACACTAGGGAGGCAGCGAGTATGCTTGCAAATAGCTAACTCAGTTTGTGACGTCAATCAAATGAATTGAAGCAATAGGGTTCAAAAAATGGATGACTCTTACATACTTAACTGGAGTGTTATCTCAACCACCTTCCTAACGTAGATTCGCTTCGCAACTTGTTAAACCGTACAAATATTAGTCCCTATTGAAGACCCCACAAAATACATACATCGGCAAGCTCTCAGTGGCTTCTACAACGGTTTTTTGACACAAGTTTCGTTTCTTGCGGCTTTTCTATTATTGTGGGAAGCTATTTCGCTCCCATGGTCTACCTGTCTACTTTCGAACTTGCGACAACAATTTGCTTGGGTAATTTTCCCTGATAAATTAGCTGATCATAAATCCGGGAAATGGACCACTACGCATGCAACCACGAATCAATAACTTTTCAGACGGTCCCAGCGGACAAGTTAAGTTAGAAATGACTTGTTCAGAAAGACAAGAAAGAAAAACAAGACAGGAATTCTAGAATCAGGTGGTTATTTGTGGAAGTTAAAATGACTTTTCTGAGTTTCTTCTAATATTGTTAATAATACATATTCCTATCCAGGCAGTAGTAGCACGATCGTAGGTAGACAGCATGTGACTTCCAGTATTTCAGCGGAAGTCAGTACATTTTATTTTGGTTGTGCAACTTTTCCAAAAGTTTGTCTGGATCGCAACTCGATCGATAATGGTCAAAACACCTGATCTCCCAAATCTCGTTTCACGTCCATAGTTGTCAGAACAACACGTGAATAAAAGTTTTCAGTATATTCGATTCAGATGCAGAGCTAAGAAAACTGATAAAAAAATCACCTGATGAGGTATGGTGACCGTTCCACTAAAGGTGACGCTAAGGGGAGTCCGTACATTTTGCTTAGCATTCATTGGAAAGACTATGCTCACATGGATATGAACAAACAAATTGAAAATCGGGCGAAACGTGAGGTTAGAATTGGGTATGCTATATTAAATTCACATTTAGTGGACGGGATTTGGTAGAAGCACACAAATTAATGAAGGGTAGTTCGCAGTCACTTCCCATGTGGTAAATCCAGCAATACAGTGGGAAACTGGGGCAAGACAATATACAATATTGTGCTCCAATTAGTATAAAGACAACAACACTAATTGAGTTTTCTTAGTTAGGTGGGTGTACTGTTAAAGATTTTGCCGGCATCTTTTGTTTTCTTAGACGCAGTTTAATTTACTGAACAGCCATCAAGTTGAGTAGTCTGCAGCTACTAACGTGTATCCACAACTATATTGCATTGGTCAAGGCGGGTAGATCGGTGGAAGTTCATGTTCACGGGAGCAAAACCACCGCCAAATTTCAACTGAACGTAATCCGGATTTTCCTGATCACTTGGCTCTCTTCCTTCTTGTTAAGGGGTCGGCCGGAATTCCCCCTTATGAACTGTTCAGTCAAAATTTTCAATACCGTACAGTCTTGACAACCAGCTTTCCATGCGCGCTCCATAAAACAGGGTTTTTTAGACTTCTCTTGTTTTCTACTTACGCAGCCCTGAATGCTGATGTCCCGGTAAGACCTCACAAAATTGCTGTTCACGTGTGTTCAAACTGTGTGTCGGATTACCTTCAATAAAGCACCTAATTCATGATAAAAGACGATACCATACGGAGAGTTTCAAATGCAGTAGAGGGCTATATGACATTCGGAAACCTTTTCCAACGTGTCGGTTTTGAAATGGTAACACAGACAACTGATTATTAGACGATATACTTGACCGATTTCGATGAAAAAAATGTCAACCGAAATTAACTGGGCCGGAGATTCTTCCAAAATCTTGATGGATGCCACAAGTGCCTAAAAACCTTGCGTTCATTAAGCACCCTCGAAGGGGCTGTTTCAAGTCAGCGAGTAAGATTTGTACAAAGCTTGTGAATTGGTGTCAACACAGCATGCAAAATCAACGACTTCAGTGGGAAGGCATATTTTACTGTTCGCGGTCAGAAAATCCAGTGGATGTGTTTACCTAATCTTGATATGGAAGCCTTCACTAGACTGAATAAAGTAAAAGGTAACCTGTAGACTATGTAAACAACCCCTTAGAGACAGCATCAGTTAATCCTTTTAAGGCATTAGCAGTGGCCTGGTGGACAGATGTACTTGTGAATGTTTGAGAACCTACAACTTGAAGGACTAAATGCATCAGTTAGAGCCAGTGAGTTCGATTGGGCTTACGAATTCATACGTTATAAACTACAGATCATTTGTGCCACTGTTCACACCCCAACACTGTTTCTCGCCTTTTTTGCTTAACTTCTTCCACCAAGACGAAAACCCAGCAGCCTGTTTAGATAATCTCTTATAGTTAGGTAAGATCCTGAATTCACTAAATGGACGGCGGAAAGCCATATCCTCCTCACTTGCCAAGATTGTGCATGCTGGGCGTAATTGGGTCTTGACGACAAAAAAATTGTGCTGTTATTGGCGGTACGAGTTCAATTATTGGTATTCCATTTGGTTCAGCCTCAATTATAATCGAAATACAAACAGGTCAACATAGTTCAAAGATGATTTCATCACGTTTGTGGAGCATGGATATTAATACCTAAATAATTCGCTTAGCACACCGGAACAATTGGCTCTGAATCTGTCTGGCTGATTAAACTATTCCGAGTCGCTCCTGGTAATTTCCAGTGCTTATCTCAATGTGGATATTTGCAATTTCGAATATCGAATATCGATGTTGCCAAAACATCAGTGAATTTTACAAGCTTTATCACGCAGATTGCGAATCAGACTGTGCAGATTACCTGAACTCAGCCGGCTTCACTGCTAGCAATTAGTGAAAATAAGGCTTCTGTCATTCGGCATGAATCAGGGCTTGTCGCGGAATTGAAGAATTCTCATTCAGAATCCATTTTTTTGTAAATCTGAACCATTCTCACACCGCTTTCCGATGTGCTTGAACTGAATTTGGTAAACATTTCACTGAATAAAAAACAAAGTGCCTCCAAGTCAACAAATGAACCTCAGCCACTCGTAAGTAGTTTTGTTTCTGCTCATGTGCTGCGCTTTGAAGGTTGCGGGTCTCTTGTCTCCTTGCTGAAAAAATGTCAAAATGGAAGTCAGGTTTCAAAAGTTAGAGATGGTCCAAATTGCTTGTGTAAAGGTGCCTTGGAGATGAGGAAAGAAAATGCATTCCTAGGGTAAAAAATTGGAATTGGCTCACAGGTGAACATTTTTCGTAGGTGGGACGCTGGGTAGAAACTTTTTACGAAAATCAATACACCGCTATTGTGGGTTCAAAGTAAGTCAGAAAACGCGTAGTTAAGGACACGGGTGTATTGAGTACACGCGGCCAAACAGGTCCGAGTAAGCAAACAACTAAGTCACATGTCCAGACATCCTACAAGCAGTTCTCTGATGTATTGAAGGATAGACATGCAGACCTGCCAACCAATCGAACAGGTATCCACTCACCACTACTCTCACAGGTCATATCGAAAAGCATAACGAAAGTCATGACCGCCCTCTTGAGGAGTTCGAAAGATACCTTGAATTTGCTTGAATTGTCCTCATATGGCGAAGCAAACCAACGTCTGACCCCATTATATTTTGCGGGCGACCCAGTACCACATGCTTCACAGTGGTGTGACGACTATTTGAACACCGCTAAAAAATCAAGCAGGTCTTTCAATTGATAGTGCTTGTACACGTGTCACCAAATGTTTCATTATCCTGACTACATGAATGGCTGTCGTAAATGCTGGCAACAGCATTTTATAAGCGGCTAGCTCGTGACATCAGTAAGTCCCGTGCGTTTTCATTTTTTTCGGAGACTTCGACATATCTTCCAAGCTCATTACAACTGAAGTGGAAATGGCGGAGTTCTCCAATTCTAGTTTTTTTTATTTATTTTTGAATCAAGTTTGTTTTAATTCCTGAAACCATTTCAATACCGCGTAAAAATTTATTCGGGGGCATGCCACATTCTCTGGCCTTTGAATTGCGATTTTTGGGGACTGCAGGCATGGATGAACCATGGTGTTGGTGTGTTGGAATAAACGATGGACGGCAAATTGACCTTCTGATAAATGCAACAAGTTTCCAGACTTCTATTATGAGCATGTTCCTCTGTGGTTCATATACATCCAGTGGTAAAATGAAAGAGGTATTAAAAGTCATACCTCTTAGCTGCTTGTGCAGGCCCCCTGAGACGTTTCGAAAACAAACTTGTTTGCTAACTTTGTGCTCTGAATTCCTGTACCAATAAACAGTCAAGTTGTCTATTATTCTGTATCATAAGGTAACTTTCTTGGTCGGTTTACGGTAAGTGATAGGGAAATGGCCGTATTTTGTAAGTTGGGTTTTAATTGACATTAACAGTGATATTCATATTCCACTGGAACGTGTTTGTTCCTATATGCACGTGTGTCGACACGCCTTTTCGCCGCTGCGTCTTCGCTGTCCAGCCAAGTGGAACTTGCTCCTGATTGGCTGAGAACAAGGTTGACGTTTTGTGTGTGACTGACTGCTGCCGTTGTGTCACGTGCTGAAGACAAGTCAAGCGCTTGGTCTATCGACAGTATCCACAGTGTTCAAAACATTTTAATGTGGAGTGCACTACGGACTTGATGCTGGTACCGTGAGCGGCAGATAGAACTGTGTAAACATTGTAAGTGGATGCTATGAATTTCACCATGAAGTAAGTCCAGATCGATCGGCTGTAATCTTTAAAAGTGTTGCATTTTCCATCACGACCGAGTTCTGTGAAGAGATAATTTTTTTCGGCCACAGATATCAGTGGTAATAAATCACCCCGTAAAGAACAAAAAACCAACAAAGTTTTGGTCTGTGTTTGAGGATACGAAAACCTGGTAACGCAACAGAAGACAGTCAGTTTGAACCTGTGGATAGTCTTCAGCATTTACTGTTCAGTTTCGCCCCGTGTGTTGTTGCTTTTAATTTTTAAAGCGTATCACAATATTCACAGTTTATTGTGCGTATACGGCAAACTCGAAATGTAGCGTCGGTGCAGGGCGATTATTTCATGCTTCGAAACCAAAAATATGGCTTAATGCCAAAATGAATTGAAGGATCGGGATTTTTGACCTGATGCATAACAAAGGAACGCTAGTAAAAACTGACTTCTCTGTTCATTTGGAAGTGGTCGCCAATCACAAAATCCTGTAACCTCTGTACAACGGCTGTGTAACAAGGCATGATCAAAAAGATAGTCACTGAAAAAACCACACGTCACAAGGTAACGCTTAGTTACTTTTCATCAACCAGTCAAGCCCACTCAGCCCATAATCAGGACTGTTCTTGCCACTCGATTGTGATGGGTGGTGACAGTTTATGCTAGCCTCCCGGTGGTCTTACGCAAAAAGATGAAATGGGAGACGTTAGTGACAGGTGTATTGGACTATCCTATGAGGAGCAGAAGTAGGGAATTAGAATGGAAGGGCGTAAAATTCTGGTAAATGTTTATTTCTGCACTTCTGATGAATAAAGTCATGATGATGAAATTAGGAAGGATAAAGTTAAGAAGCAATCAAGCGAATGTTTGTGCATCGCTGTTTGGCGAGTAGTAGTACTTAAGTGGATTGTGGTGCAAACGGGCGACAGCTGCAAGCCTGCATTTCGTGGTAGTCTTTGGTACGTTGATGGGAATTGTTAGCTAAAAGGAAGGTCACGTTTCCAAATGAATGGCTAACCTATTTGAGACAGTAGTGTGTGTTCATCAGGCTCTTCGCAATAGAATAATGAATAATCTGAATGGGTGCATGTTACTAAGTTTGGAAATTGGTTGGAGAAACGTGGACACAAGGGTGCTTGCAACTACAATCCGTACTCGGGAATCGGATTTGAATTACTAAACGGAATGAACACTGAAAACGGCCAGAGACAAAGCGGAACTCGCTTCTCAGCGACAGTTTTAACTTGGTGATGTCCCCAGTTTAGGTCCTCAGCTGTAGATTTTTGACCATATTCATCATTATTACCAGCATCAAACAGGTGAAATCGTTCTTCCAGCACAGACACAGTTTTGCTTGACATCACTTCTCAGCCAAACCCGGACGCAATCAAGCATCAAAGCACTGAGATAGTAGAGAGTACACAGTTGTATCCTTTAAATTTACTGTTTGAGAGTAGCAGTTGTATTAATAATAAGCTCGAATTGTTTCTAACTGTTTTTAACCAACAACTGAGCAAAACTGTTCAGCAGATTTCAAAGTGTCCGTGGCGCTGCCTGACTGTGAAGATCTGAATGGCGGGTCAATCGATCGACACAAGCAGGACAGTTACTGAGTCGTCGTTTAGTTAGTCGGGCAAAGCAATCACGTCGGTCACGTGCGTTGGTGAAGTAGTGGTGACACGCCTGCCTGACATGTGAGATGTCTAGAGTATGGCCAAGGATGCGCAATACTGATGATCTCTGACAAGAACGAAACTCAAGTCAAGTCCACTAGACTCACTAGACTTACTAGACTAACTGCGTCAGGACAAGGAAACGACTGAAGCAGACGATAAGATAATAACACGATAAAAGTAGAAGCAAAAAAACAATATTACCAATGGTAGGTGGGTAGTGCACAGTATCCTAATCAGATCTTCTACTTGATCGGCATTTTCTCATTTGGACTTGAGTTGCCAATAAATTTTACACTTGTGTGCCCTATAAGAATTGATCGGATCATTTTGGAATTCACTAAATCATAGTCTTTGTTTTGTTTATTTAGATTAACCATGTAAGCATAGTTTTCCACCTCCTGTCATCCACTGTTAACGTGGTCTTTTCTATCAGGATGTTCGATAAAAATTATACGACAGACTCTTCCCAAGTTCTCTCCCAATCCAATGCACAACTACGTATCAATTGTGAATTATTTATACAGGAATATTTGATGCACTTACGTCTCCTTATTCAGGAACCGCATTCCGGAAGCAGGGTGCGGAGATTTTCTAGCAGCTTCGCTCTTTATATGTCGGGTTTGATCAAAACACTGTTCGGCGCAGGCTGCGTAATGGTTTACTTCTATCGAGCTAACTACTGGAGACAATCTCAATATGTACGGGTGAATAATCCAAGAGAATGTATTTAAATATATTAGGAAACAGTGAACAACTCCATCCTCACTTCTCCGGATCGTTGTTTGAGTCTGCGAGTTTGTAAACCTGGGATCACACTGCAACACGAGTTATCTCTGGAACATCGTACGTCGGGGTTAATAAAACACATTCAAATTTGCCTGCCCACCGGGACTGTCTGAAGGATTATCGAAATGCTTTTACATGCGTTGCGTTCTCTCCCTCGTGTTGAGGCTAATTTTCGTTGCGAAAACAAACCACATATACATTGTAGGTTTTATTGGGTTGATTCAACTATTCCTGCAAGTTTGACTTCCTGGCTTATGTGCAGCGGTCTGTGTGTCTTACAGGGCGCCACTGTTCGTAACAAGAATTTTTCAGGATTTCTGCGAACTCATTCACCCACTGGTAGCGTCAAATAATGGTCATATCGGTAGGAAGGGTAAATGCAGGCAGATAGGTGTATACGCAAAATTTCTACTGCGCATTTCAAGAGCTTTGCAAGTCGTTTTAAACATTCCTTGTGAGAACCCTGCAAGCAACACATTAGCGGGAAATGTGTACAAGAAGTCTGGGCTGGGCTGGCTGCCGATGAAATACACTTATTGTATTTTCAAGCCTGAGTATGAAATTTCAATAGATATTTCCTCTTGCAAGTGAAGTCAATCTACGTATCTAAGAAAGTGCTTGGGGAGCAGATCAAAACGTGATCACATACGGTGAGCCACATGAGTGAAGCCTGAGTGGCGTTAAATCCCATTTGTTGTTTAATCGTCTCTCTGATCAGCAAGACATTTTCGAACGGTACAGCTTTGGGCTACTAACCAGAACTCGCGAGTTCCATTCCAGAATGAATGAAACAGCCGTGCAATGCACCTCCACTTTTCAGCAGAGAAGGACCTCAATTACAGAAATAAAATTTCGATGAAGCATTCAATAGCATGGAAAATAGGTTGTATATAATGACTGTCTGAGATATAGAACATTAGGCCATTGGACACACCAATTGAGATCTCAAAGCACAAGCTCTTCCTTCGTTGGTCCGAGGCCATTAATTAGTGTGAGTCTAGAACCCGCGTTTAACTAAGATGCACCTACTTAGCTTATGTGTACGTTACCGGCTGCATCAGCTTCTGGTCCCGCTGAATAGGACCATGGCATTTCATCTTTTTAGTTTGGAAAGGTCCCTTAAAAGCTCACGAGGACCTATGTATTCTTCCCCATTTACCTCAGTTTGCTCGAACGGACATGCGTTAGGCTAAATTCGTTTTTGCGCATTCCGCCAGTATAGATTTTCAGAATATAGTTTGAAGGTGTGAATTCAAATAGATGAGGAAAGAAAAAGAAAAGAAATGCATCATTAAGTGCAAAGGGAATTTACGGACTGATCTAAGATATGCCAGCGTCGTAATCTACTCTCACTTGTTCACTAATTTTGTCCTAACGGAAGAATCAACCTAATCCAGCTGACTGCCTCTTTTTTTATGTTCCTTTCGACTGAATGTGTTAGACAAGACCAGCTCGCTTTTTTATTTGAAGTGACCATTGAAATGTCGCAGTACATTGTCTAGACGGGACATAATTTTGCGGAATTTCAGAACTGTGTCTACTTGATAAGCCTCAAGAAGGGTTTTCAGACACTTGATGATTAATGTGTCTCCCTTAGATAGGTCAACGTCCTTTAGTGTCAAGATGCAGTGCAATCTTTGCTATAGGTAATAGTTCCGGCTTTTAAGCGCTCAGACTGATGACTTTTAGAGGTTGTTGATGTACCTTCGGATAACAAAGGATTCCGGAACTGTAATGAATAGTCCTTTTTTAATTGGGAAGTTTGTGAACGATCGTTTCATCGGGTACGCATTGTGGTGGAGAGTTTTGAATGAAGGGCTAAGGCAGTTTCAAAGTTTTCACTTGTCACATTTAGAGGCAAACCAAGGGCAATCTAACGGGTTGGATATCGAATCCGTTTTTCGGGTATCCGTCATCCATTAGCTTTTGACCGGCTTGTGGTACTCAATAGATTACGCTGAATACATTGATTGGATTGAGTCAGTTTTCTGTATCGATTAGGTGACTAGTGATTGTGTTTTCAAGTGTTTGGCAGCCTCGGTTTTTCGCAAAATTACTATGCGCTGCTAGACTAACTGAGATAAGCGTCGAATAGCTAGAACACCCGCAGACAAAGTCGTGTGCAGTTGCGTACACATAGTCCATTCGACCGATTAGAGTTCATTGAATCATACACGTGCTCATTAGACGATTCTGATTGCACCGCTCTTTAGGACCGTTGATTCAATCTACAATTTTCTCAACAATTCTTACATTAATTAAGCCACCAAAGTCGACGATCTTAAAGATATATATATATATATATATATATATATATATATA